TAAAAAAGCAGCTACGTTATCAACGTGAAAATAAAGGGTTCTAATAGGATAGTAAAAAATCCAAAACAAGGCATAGCTCAGAGATTGGATGGGAAAGATGCTATACTTTATCATCAAGTGGAGTTGAAAAAGAGAGTGCCTACCTTTTATTTCTATTAAGTCTAATGATTACAAAAATCCACCTGAACTTGATCTTCAATTATCAATAACCACTAAGATTAGCATGTTAAAAGCTTTAATTACACAGCTATGACAAAATGTAATTTAAAAAGCGGGGACTTTCAATTTTGGCTGTTGAGAGGAAGGGACTAAGCACTGGATGAATAACTGTGAACTGAAACCTAGAAATGTCACCACTGCTAATGTCTTATAATGACTTGCTGTGTATGTCCCTTAAATCAAGAGTACAACCTCATCCTGTTACTTCTTTGTTACCTTTTGCCTTCATCTTTGAAACCGCTTCAATTTAAGTGATAAGAGGTTTATTGTTTTAAGAGGTGGTTTGTGATGGCCTGATGTACCAACCCACATTTCATTTACTGCTGTGTATCAGTTCTTCAGGATTTCTATTAAGTATGTTGGAAAAGTTAGTAAAGCTTTATTGGCCAATGTTTCTCAGTCACTTAACTGGATAATTCACTATTCTTTGTATGACTATCAAAAGAATATATTATTTTTGTGAATTATAGATCGAGGGTCTATTTTTTATATTTAAAATTACATTATTTCTTTGAAGTATTCTTTCTTTTCTCACATCAACATTATTAAAAATTCATGACAAGTAGATTAATTTTTCCTTTATTCAGCTAACAAACATTAACTGAGTATCTGCCATGTACTCTCTCTTATGTCTTGAGCTGGGAATATAACCTGAAAGAAAGACACAGTCTGCCCCTGGAGGGCTGAGTGTCCAGGAGAAAGATGTGTGTCCAGACAATGCAATAACAATGCAATGAGATAAGTGATGTGGGAACAGGCTTCCACGGGAGAAAAAAGAAGAGATGTATAATTCCCCCTGAATGGCTGTACTGAATTCTGAGGGATGACAAGGAGGGCTCAGGAGCAGGAAGAAGCTGAGGGAAGGGAGCACTAGGAATGCATATGTAAAGGCAAGTGGCCTCAACACTGTTTGCAAAGGGGCAGCACAATGAAGAGGTTAAGAGCATGTATGCTGCCTGGGTTCCCCATTGGGCGATTAACCTCTCTCGGTCTCAGTCTCCCCATCTATAGAAAGGGCATAATATGCATACATATCTACTTTAAAGAACCATTATGAGAATAAATGAGTTCCTTTTTGTAAAGCACATAGTAAGGGCAATTTAAAGGTTTGCTGTTATTAGAGTGCAGGGTTCTTGCTGGCAGCGGGAGAAAAGAAGGTTTCAGAGTAGAGAGGAAGGCTGGGCCAGAGATAAGAGGCTCCTGGTTAATTCTGAGAGAGATAGGAAGCCATGTCTGGACTTAAGGCACATGAAGGATGACCTACAATTAGTGTGGGCCTTTGAGAAAGGCTAATCAGTCATGGGGAGACTAGAGGGGGACGCAATGTGAAGCAGGGAGACAAATTAGGGGGCTCTGGAAACAGTCCTGGAACGTTGCTAGGAGCTGGAACCAGGGCAATGGGATGGGAATGGAGAGAAAGGAGTGGATTTAAGAAGTACCTTGGAGGCAGAGTTGGTAAGACTTAATGATCCACTGGATGATGGGATAAGGGAGAGCTATAGTTCAGAGGCTGGATGGGGAAGTTGCTCTACTTTATCACTGAGCTGAACTGAAAAAGAGAATCCTTATCTCTTTGGTCTCTTGGTATTTATAAGTACACACTAATTGTTAAATTCACTTCCTTTCTGCATAGTTGTACCCAACCCCCCTTTTTCTTTTTACCGGTTGAGAGGATCTGATTTTGAAAAAAATACAAAGATGGAAAAGTAATTGTGTGCACTTGGCCTCAGACTTTCTAACTTGATCAGAGACCTTGAATTTCAATGACAATATTTGAAATTTGGAAGATATCTTTCGGCCATTTTGCCTTAGTTTTCTTTTCTGAAAATGCAGAGACATTCTGGCTGGCCTAGCTTCCCCTGGTGTTATGTGATTCTCTGACATCAGCATAGATATATTCAGCTTTGACACAGGATACTGGCGGGTTTGAGAAAGAAGGGGAAGACGGCTGAGCCTGCAGCAGGACCTGACAGCCAAGCTTGCCTCTACTAAGTGGCATCTGCAACAGGTGTTCTGTGGAGCCAGAGTTAGAAAGGGCTTCCTCCTCTATTTTTAAAAAGTAAGGAACTAACTCTCTCACAAATATATAGACACTGGAAAAGTTATATGCTCATTGCTATGAGATATATTCCTCTGGATGTAATGTTTATTATCGTCAAGGTGGAGCAACTGAGTGTCTTTCTTTTTGTTTCCTTCTATTTTTGAAGTAAAAGGTGTTGTTGTTTTTTTTAAGATTTTATTTATTTATTTGACAGAGAGAGAGATCACAAGTAGGCAGAGAGGCAGGCAGAAGAGAAAGGGGGAAGCAGGCTCCTCGTCGAGCAGAGAGCCCAATGCAGGGCCCGATCCCTGGACCCTGAGATCATGACCCGAGACGAAGGCAGAGGCTCAACCCAATGAGCCACCCAGGCATCCCTGAAGTAGAAGATTCTTATGTCTGTGGTAGAGGTCTTGATGCAGGAAGATACATTTGCTAAGCTTGTAAGATTTTTTTAGTTCAATGACGCTATAGCCGGGTATGTGGCTAACTTTTACACTTACAAGACTGTCTTCTCTGTCCCTGGAGGGCCATTAAACTTAGTGGGCTGTCAGAGAATTGACAATGACAGCATAATTGAACAACCAAACACTTCTTATTTTCAATAGAGAATCCTAAAGCATTCTAGCTATTAAGCAGAAACAAGAGTCTATTTCCATTAGGGCTGAGTAACCCATCTCCCCCATATTTTTTTTTTTACTACATCTGATAACTTTTTTCACCACTACTGGCTGTTCCTATAAAAGCACTGAGATACTGGATAAAATATCATAACATCAAAACCATTTTTTATTTATTTATTTATTTATTTATTTATTTATTTTTTCAAAACCATTTTTTAAAGTTATCTTTTTCTTGGTCTTTGTGACAATCCAGTTCTTAGTCCCTACCATTCTGTAGTTTTGGCAGAGACTTGAATCCGAGCAACACTGGTCTGGCTTTGATCTGGTTTTGTAATTTTCAGGCTGCAAACCTCAAAGTATTTTTCGAGGGAAAAAATGAGCACTTTGTTTCAATGCCCAGAAAAACAGTATATTGAGTTTATTCATTAATTTGACTTTACCTAATTTTTAAAAGGTTGATAAAATAGGAAGCTAGTACCACTGATAGTGTTTGTTAATTCACTGTGTAGTCCAAATTCTTTTTCTTTATTACTCACTGAATTAGTGAAGAGCCAGTATCAAAGGAGAAACATTTCCCCCAAATGGATATATTTATAAAAATGTTTTTGTATGCTGATTTTATCTTTTCTTATAATTAGCAGACTATTATATTTGACCTTGGCAAAATATTTTAATTAGGTTGTCCATGGATATTTTAATAAGCTTGAATTTTTTTTTTGACATTTCAAACATAACCTTGTGTCATTCATGCCTGTCTCCTACTATTTTAAATGTATATCATGTTACAGCTGCAGGAATTACCATGGTTACTTGTTAAACCAATAGTGAACTGTGGTTTGCATTAAAAACTACTGTGCTGTCTTACATCTGCTCTGAAAATGACATCAATATCTCAATAATCACAATAACACGAATTAATATGGAACCCTGAGGTTCCATATGCCTATAACATGATTGGACATAGTGGAAGAAATCCTTAAGAGTTTATATGCATATATATATATATATATATATATATATATATATTTAAAGATTTTATTTCTTTATTTGACAGAGAGAATCATAAGTAGCAGAGAGGCAGGTAGAGGGGTAGGGGGAAGCAGGCTCCCCGCTGAGCAGAGAGCCTGATGCGGGGCTCGATCCCAGGACCCTGAGATCATGACCTGAGCCAAAGGCAGAGGCTTAACCCACTGAGCCACCCAGGCACCCCAAGACTTAAAATATATTTAAACAGCTTTTTGGGAGTACACCATATTCATATTCTCTAAGAGCTAATTTTAATGTCAAAATTGGCTTTATTTTATTAACAATATTGTTGAATGGTTATACTCTCACTCCCTCCTTATTTTTTTAATTTTAAAAAAGTTTTTAAAGATTTTTTAAATTTTAAAAAATTTATTCATTTGTGAGAGAGAGAAAGCAAGTGAGCAAGAGAGTGAGCGAGAGCAAGAGCAAGAGGGAGGGTCAGCGGCAGAGGGAGAAACAGACTCGCGGGTAAGCAAAGCACCCAATGCAGGGTTCGATGTGGAGCTCCATCCCAGAACCCGAGAATCATGACCTGCGCCAAAGGCAGATGTTAACCTGCTGAGCCACCCAGGTGCCCCTCCCTGCCACCTTTTAACTTATTTACTATTTTCTTACTAATTTATTTATTTTTAATTAAAATTCAATTAGTTAACACGTAAGGTATGATTCATTTCAGAGGTATACCCCCTCCTTTTAAACATGCATTCTACCAGGAGTTTGGTACTTCTTTGGGTGGAGAGAGATTCACATTTAATGTGAAATGATTCACAGAGAACTCAATTGGTAAGTCTTGCTAAAGGTACTTTTGTGTCCAGAGATTGTATCTAGGATTAAATGGGTTTGATCAGAGCCTTCACTTCTGGTTATGTGGACTAGCTGAAGTTTGATTAAGAAAAGTTCTAGGTAATAGTCTTCTTCTAAGTTACTATCCATCCATTCCTGCTTCATAAAAATGCTTGAGAAGTTCCGGGGGCCATTTTTCCATACAGCTCACACATATCCCTACTTGGTTCAAAAGACTTACTTCCTGCAAATCAGCCAGCAAAGGAACCCTGAACAATGATCCATGCTGTGGCCCAGAAATCCCCGCTCACCTGCACTGGTGCCTGCACCGGATGTGAGGTCTCCACCCATCAGACCACCTATGGATTAAAGAGAAAGATCAGAAGAAGGAAAGGCCACAGGTCCACAGAACAACACACTTTACCTTTAGCAACCACAGTATTCTGGCTCTCCCAAAGGTCCTAAATTTGTAAAATATTACCTAAGTTGGATGGCTGACATTTGTTTTATTATGACATGCTGAGCTCAAACATTAAGCCTACATTCAATCACTGACATTTTGCAGAATCTTTCGTTCTAAGAAAGGTTACATTTAAAAAATCCAGTGTTTAAATGGTCTCTGAATTTTCATTTTTGGATGTTTTATAGAAAGTGGAAAAAAAAAGGAGTAAGGTCTACTGTGTGTTGAAGTAAACTTACACTTGATGTTTAAGTCTTTGTAAATATATTTTTATATAATTAATTTTGTAAAATGCTAATTGTCCAGAACTTTGGTCATTTCATGAATCTACTCACAGCGAATGACCTCATTGACTACCTGAATTTTCCTTACTGACACAACAGAGAAGGTTTCATTGGCTACAAATTTAGAAAGGTATGTTCATTCTCTGCTAACTTAAATTTGGCAATGTTAAAATATGACAGCTGGGATATTTCAATAAGATACTCAGTATAATAATTACTGTTAGTTTTAAGGAATAAGATTTAGCCAAAAAAACAGAATATCAGCTGGATTCTTTTCTTTTCCCTCCCTCCTCCCCTTCGTTCCTTTCTTTGTTCCTTCATTCCTTCCTTCCTCCCCTTCCTTCCTCCTCCTTCTTTCTTTTTCTTTAGAGAGGAAGGTAGGGAAGGAAAGGGAGAGAGAGTCTCAAGCAAGCCCGCACCCAGTGCAGAGCCCAACGTGGGGCTCTATCTCACAACCCTGAGACTGTGACCTGAGCTGAAATCAAGAGTCAGATGCTTAACCAACTGAGCCATCCAGATGCCCCTCGGCTGGATTATTTTCAAACTGATCCTAAGTGACAGTCTATAATTAATAGTTGGTTCTGGTTTTGGAATTTGAAGAACATATTCATTACTTTTATTTATTTTTATTTTTTTTAAAGATTTTATTTATTTATTTGACAGAGAGAGACAACAGCGAGAGAGGGAGCACAAGCAGAGGGAGAGGGAGAAGCAGGCCTCCCGCCCAGCAGGGAGCCCAATGCGGGGCTCGATCCCAGGACCCCGGGATCATGACTTGAGCCAAAGGCAGACGCCTAATGACTGAGCCACCCAGGGCCCCTGTTCATTACTTTTAAAGAAATGTTTGTATTTTCCAATCAAATAATATTTTGGAGATAAAGTATGAAATTTTTAAAAATAAACAAGCATGAATTTATCAAGCAGGGAATTCAACTGCGTTTGAGTGTGATCTGAAAGGAATAACATATGGTTATTGAAAATTCTTATGAAAAATTTCAGTCATGTTCAAAAGTAGAGAGAATGGCATAATGGCATCCTTTATACACATCTCTCAGACTCAAGATTTATCAAGATTTTATCATTTGGTTGATTTTGATTATATTTTCTATATGAAGTTTCTGTACTAAATAGGAATACAGGTTTAGTTTAGTTTTTTTTTTTTTTTAAAGATTTTATTTATTTGACAGAGAGAGACACAGTGAAAGAGGAAACACAAGCAGGAAGATTGGGAAAGGGAGAAGCAGGCTTCCCATTGAGCAGGGAGCCTGATGCAGGGCTCAATCCCAGGACACTAGGATCATGACCTGAGCTGAAGGCAAATGCTTAATGACTGAGCCACCAAGGCACCTCACATGTTTAGTTTTAATTATAAGGCAGATATTGAAGTATTCTCAAGGAAAAATTCTTTTGTGAATAAATTGCCTTTAATATAGTTATGTGTGCCTAAGACATACTAAAAGTTTCCTATGGAGTGCTTTTTAAAAAAGTAAAATGTAATATACAATGCTTTGTTATATATGATTTAGAAATATAATTATTTTTGGTGCTTTTTTGGAGATATAAGGGGATTGTTTGGTTATAGTCAGTATACATTTATTTAGTTCCAACTGTGAAGTTGGAAGTTGGCAATCCAGGAGGACTGTCTTCCCTCCAAGATTCTTTAAATCCAGTGGGGAAATAGAGACAAATTCAACATAGCACATCATATACTGTATTTTGCTTGATCTGAGTATGAAGAATGGTTGAACTTTTCCTGAGCAATAATTTCTTTTCTCTGGGACACCGCGAATTGTACAACAGTGGGGATTTCTTAGAAATATTGAGACTAATTTGTGGCAGGTATATATGTTCTTATGATGTCCTCTTAATTTCATTTCTAAGTTTTGTTTTTATTTCACACTTCTTAAGTTACACTATTTTATTACATTTCTTTCCTGCTTTCAGTCCTCTGTGGTATAAGTTTCTGTATAAATAAATAAAAACTGACCACACTAAGAAATAACTAAATGGCACAAATGCTATCAGAGGACACAGGGGAAGATTTCATGGAAAAGGTGATAATCTGGCTAAGAGGAAGAGGGAAAATGGCATCTTAGGCAGGAGGAGAGTAGTAGCAAAAAAATGAAGACTTTCTTTCTCCAAGGATGTTTGACTTTTTGTTTAAGAAAGTATGTGGTTGAAATATAGCCACATGAGAGATGGGTGGGAGTCTAAACAGAAAAATAGCAGATTATGAGAGATTTCAAAATCAGGCTGATGGGGTTGAAGACCAAAAAGAAGGTGGATCTTAAGCAACGAGGAAACATAACAAATGGAAACCTGGAAAAGTCTACATCTTGGTGATAAAATACCCTTTGTGCCAAGAGTGGCTCCTTCCCGATTTGTTAACATTGCATGCATATGAGGACATACATACCTGTGTTACCTGCACTTGGAGGTCGATGTGTTACACCAGGAGACATACTGTTTCTCTGCAGAGAAGGGTGGGCCAGTGGCAAAAGGTTGGGGTTTCCCAGTGAGCTGACGGGGTTGCTGTATACCAAACTGTTGTGGCTGGACACTGGGATGGAGACTGGCATCTCAAAGTTGGGAGGTGGAACAGCCTGTAGGAGCAGAGAAAAACGTGGGTAAAAGGAAAGAAAAGAAACAGAAGTCCGCACGTACAGAAAGCCTTTAGTTTTCCAAGAAAAATTTCAAATTCCAAGCTGGTTGGTGTCTAGAAGACCATTAAGGAGAGCTCTCAAGATGTTCAGATCATAAATTGATTTCTTTAATGTGCTTAGAACTCTTCCTTCGCAACTATTAGAAAACGTTTCACTTTTGTTTAAAACAAAGCCCCATTTCATTAGACTCCATTGTCTTCGAATTCCATTCTATTAAGTAATAATTGTTCATTTGTGATGTCTGAATCTGGTGCCAGAAATGACTGCAAGATCAAAGGTACATGATTGTGATGACTTCACAGAGAAAGAGGAGGATTAAAATGCAAACCAGAGTCTTCAGTTTAATTGCTTATTGAAGCATATTTATGCAGAAGTTTAATGATATAAAATCATCTCCAAGCATGTGAATAGCACCTGTACTTTAATTATTATTTTTAAAAGTCTGTCTTTTGAGAGTAATGCTAAAGATAATAGACATTTTAAGATACAGAATTCAACAGAGCATGTATCATTCAATAGTTCATATTTTAAAATGATAGTTCAGAATATAGGCTACACTTTACATTTGGGGGATACAGGACACTGACAAATGGCAAGACTTCTGTCTCAAAGGAGAAAGCTGGCAAATATTTAGTGAAATGAAGTCGTGTGGGTACCTCATTAGAGTAATTAGGTACCAATTATTGATATTTTGGTATTATTTTAGCAATTTAAGCAAAATCATGCTTATTTCTCTGCTTGTACTAACCAATCATACTTACAACTCCCCCCTTTTAAAAAAATGTTTTAACATTATAAATGAAAATACTGCTTGCACATATTGCCAGAGGACTTATGGTGTCAGAGCATACAGCATTCTTACTATAAAACTGATACTTATGTGTGTGTGTATGTATGTATCTAATAGATCTGTTAGAGACGGGGTTTATATAGAACATTCCCTCAGGATTCCAATAAGCCAGTGTGTAAGTTTAAATGCCTATGTGCATGTGACTCAAAGGTTTTCATTTTTATTTTAATCTTTTTTTTTTTTTTTCCTTCAGTGATCTTAACATCAACTTTCCTTTCCTGGTTGATTGACTAGCCTGTATCCTATGTCATGCTCTGCAAAAGCTCTTTATCCTGGTGGTGATTTCAATATTACTCTCTATTTAGGCTTATGTTCTCTTACTCTTTATTTTTCCCATTTTCTTTTCTTCCATGATCTGGACATATTGATACATACAGAAGCAAATATTTCCTAACTCTTTTACAAATGTCTTTGATTCCTCACTGTTTTACAGCAAAATAAAAATCCTAAAGTGCTTTATTAAAACAGTCTTTATTAAGACTTTATCTATTTTAAGCAGAGTAACAAACAATAACTTTGGATCAACATCATGATACAATGAAACATAAATGTTGGATAATTCAAAGAATGAATTTCCAGAGGCTCAAATTTTCAGAGCCTTTTAAACAACAAAAAATATTAGTGTATGTTGTAAAATAAATGTCTGTAGACTGAATGAAATATTGCATTGTAGTAAAAGGCCAAATAAGAATTACTTAGAATACCTAAGAAAACAAAGGTAAACAACTGTGGGAGGTTCTATTTGCCTCTCCAGATCCGCTCTCCAACCTCTTCATTGCTCTGGGCCCAGCTGGCTGAGTCTCCTGGCTATATCCACCTGGCTCCCCCTGCCCTCTGGCTTCAGCTGGGCCAGGGGAGGCACTGGCAGAAGTAGAGAGAGTAGGAGAGAAGTCAGGGTATTTGGCTACTATAGCATCCTCCCTGGGGAGCCACAGGTTGGCAGAGGCTGCATTCCGCTCATGAAGGTCACACCTCTTTTGGTGTCATGTCTTCTATATTCTCAGATCTTGCTGTGCCGCTGGTATCTTTTGTGTCCTCTTGCTCCTTTAGGCCTGGTTAAAAGCTGGTAACAGCTTCCAGGTTGCAAGGTGTAATATACTTCACCATTCCTTTGGGTTTCACTGAACTCTACCCATCTACCAACAGTCCTTCTGCTAAATAAACTCCCTTCAATGACGATGTTTCTCTCCAAAGCCATTATAGTGACTCTCTAGATCTAGAATAGTGGTACTCTACAGGGGTGAACTCCCTCCCTAGGGAACACTTTGGAAATCTGTGGAACAGTTCACAATAATTGGGGGTGTGGCTGGTATTTTCTGGGTAGGTAGGCAGGTGTTCTACATACCCTGTCATATGTGGGACAGTTCAACACAACAAAGAATCATCTTCTATCCTATTCAACTTTGAAAAGCCCCCACTGGACAATTCATCTGTGTGAAAAAACCCATTTATAATGATGTGAGTCAGAACTAACTTTGTTCTACAAACACAAGGTATTTTCATACATTGAAACATGGATTTTATTATATACTGAAATTTCCAGAAGTGCAATTACTGCTGCATTGAGGGAATATTCTACTTTCCTATGTAAGGAACTTCATTAAAAATTGTTCACCACCTTGGACAATCATATCACCAATGGCAATTCTGGTTTTGTAATTTGGGTTGTAAATATAGCATACTGTTTTCTTTCAACTCATTCCATTAAAAAGTGTTCCTCCAACCATTCACTGAAAATCCTCTTGTCATGGTCACTATTAACCTTCGGGTTGAGAAATCCAATGGGAACTCCTCAATCCTTAACTTGGACACAGCAGTCACTCCTTCTTGATAAACTTTCTTCCCTTTCAAAACTCTGGACTCTCCCTCCTACCTCGATGGCTGCTCCTTTTCAGCTTTTGTTGCCGGTTCTCATTTCTCCCTGATCTTTGAATTTAAAAGTAGCATGGTTCTTTATCTGTGGCTCCGATCTCTCTCCTTACTCAGCCTTGCATATCCAACAGCAATCTCAATATTTCTACTTGAATGTCTAATAGACATCTCCAAATCAACTCCAATCTAGCTCCATTCATACCTTTCTTCATCTCCAACTGATGACAATGCTTTCAATGGCATAGAATAAAATCCTTGGGAGTTCCCCTTGAAGAATCTTCACTGTCTCCCACACATCTAGTCTACCCAGAAATCCTATTGGCTTAACTTCCATATATATTCACTTTCCAAACACCTCTTATTCTAATGGCTACCACTCTGGTTCCAGCACCATCACCTCTTGCCTTGATAACTGCAGTCACCTCCCACGAGTTGCCTGCTTCTATCCTTGCCCTCCTTCTTTTTATTTTCGACTTAGCAATCAAATTGATCCTTTAAAAGCACAGATCAGATGATGACACCCCTCTATTCCAAACCCTGTGAGAAGCTTCGACCTTACTCAGAGAAAAGCCCAACTTCTTCCAATGTTCCATAAGACCCCATAAATCCCAGCTTTCACCAGGCTTCATGATCTGATTTCCTACTGTCCTCTTCCTCACTCACTCATTCTTGCCTCATTTCCACGGCTAACTCCAGCACTTCCTTCAATTTTCTGCTCAAAATCTGGCTTTTTCAAGGAAGCCCACCCTGTCTACCTTATTTAATTGTGCAGTTTGTCCTACCCCCATCCTTCTCCTGATCTCTTTCTCTTGCTTTTTTTTTCCTTTGTAACATCACTTATGATGTTGGCCAAATAATGTTCCCTTTCATCAAGCTGCTAGAGCTCTTTTGTTGTCAGGAAATGCAGCACTTTGTCTAATTTTTATCATATGAATTGAATATTTTTCATCAAAGAAGTTTTAGGAAGACACTGTACTAATATGAAAATACAAGCTTACAATTTACTGTATATTATTTACTGAGCAGGCGCCACACTATATAATTCACACACATTATGTGATCCAACCCTTTCAACATCCCTTCACTATGGATATAATCCTTTCCTTTTTAAATCTGTGAGATTAAGTGCCCCAAGGTCATCTAACTAGGAAGTGACTGAGCCTGTTGCTTTTTCCATTAAATCACTGTGTAGCACAGTATAAGTTTTTGGACAGAAATAAAATACTGCAGTCAGAAATCATACTGTGAAGTGAGTATGGGCTTCATGTTAGCAGCTTATTATTGTGAACCATGAAAATAATGAACTAAAAGGGCTCTCATGACATGTAGCTGAGGAACCATGTTAGAGGGAGCTCTCTGCTCATAACTGTCAGGGTGTAACTGAGGTCTCGGGAAAAAATAAGCCTTCAAGACCCCTTTCTTCCGTATTTACTCAGGTTTGGTATTTTAAAGCTATCTTTTAGCTACAAGTGTTTTTATCTGTACTCACTATTACTACTTATAAATGTTTAACTATGATTGAATACTTAAGGATCTGCTATAAAACTATTTCTCCCCTGAATATTCTACGGAGTGTTGATTGTGTCTATGTAGACAGCAAAGCCCATTTCCTCTGACTGCACGCACATCCAAAGTAAGAAAAATTATCAATAATGATTTCATAAAATCTGGACCACCCTAATAACTGGTTCAGTGAAAATCTCTCTACTCCTCTCTTCCTCTGACCATCATCCCAAAGAATTATTCAGTTTCTAGCATTCTGGGCTGTAAACAATTTGGTAAGTATGAAATTCTCTTGTGATTGGTTAAATAGCAGTTAGATATAATTCTGATACCAAAGCATATTAAAAAAATCACATTTATAAAATATACTAACATCTTTTGCATTCTATCTTTTGTTTTGTTTCTTTATCTGTATTAGGAACTGGCTAAATAATTTTAAAGTCGAATTATAAGCTTAAAAATGACCACACTGAGGAGATAGCTCAGAGACTCAGAAAGAACAACAGGCTTTATATCAGAAATCTCAGTTGCAATACTGTTGTGCAATAAATTGCCATTTAAACAGGCAAGTCATTTAATGTCCCTTGACCTGATATGAGACATGAGCTGTTTGCAAACATAAAGAGATTAACCAGCTCTAAACATTTTAGGGAATGCAAAGGCTACAAAAGTGCATAAATGTTTAGAGGAATTTAGCATTGTTTTCTTCTTGATTTTTAAAAATTAGGGAACTTAAAAGCATCTTTAAAAAAAACTTTTGTCTAAAAATTGGAAGCCAGAGAGTAGTTAAGAGCTCCCGACTTGCATATATCTCAGGGCCGGGCTCCAAATTTTAGAACACGAAAGACAGGTAAGAAGAGGGAATTTGGGGTGACTGAATAAAATGCTGTAAGCAGGACTACTATGTAATTTTCAGGGCCCAGGCTAAAATGAAAATGTGTGGCCCCTGTTAAAAAATTATGAAGAGGGGCGCCTGGGTGGCTCAGTCGTTAAGTGTCTGCCTTCGGCTCAGGTCATGATTCCAGGGTCCTGGGATGGAGCCCACTCATCGGGCTCCCTGCCTCGCGGGAGACCTGCTTCTCCCTCTCCCACTACCCCTGCTTGTGTTCTTGCTCTTTCTATCTCTCTCTCTGTCAAATAAATGAAGAAAACCTTAAAAAAAATTATGAAGAATTTCAAGATGGCGATGGCCAAGCCTACAAGAGTAGGGCCCTGTGTAACTGCACAGGTCACATGCCCACAATGCCAGCCCTGCTTTACGATACACAGGCAAGAGAGCTAAAAAGCTTTTAGTGTCTATCCTTGAACAAACTGATCATGGTTACTGAAGTGAGTCATTGTGGTCAGAAAGGTATCTAAACTCTTACCCAAAACCCACTATTTTCCCAAACTTACCACAAGGAAAAGTCCAATAAAAAGTTAAATAAAATATTTTTAATAAAATATTTTTAGTTAATAGGCCCTCTTTCATTTAATGTGAATGACTGAACTGAATCCCCTTTTTGGGCCACTAATGATACTCCCTTTCAATCAACCATCACCAGGCTGCTAAGAACCGACAGAGAAAAGAAATCACACAACTCCAATTGCTGATATCCAAATTTCCTCAAGGTTGTCTGACAACCCTGGCCTGTACTCGCTCTTTCCTTTCTCATCCCCAATTTCTCACAATGTCTACACCTTCATCATTCTTGGTCCTCTCTCCAGCACCTACTCCCTCACCTTAATACCTATAGAAGCTAAGTTCAATATGAAACACAGAAATCACTAGGTGGTCACATATGTAACTTCTACCGTCTTAACTAGGTCATGGGTTTACCTACAACTCTGTCCTGCTCTGGCCCCCACCTCCTTCCCTTCCTTGAGTAGCTCACCATTGTGGCCCCATTTCACCAGTGCCTTTGATCTTTTCTTTCCTGCAAAAGCATTCCTCCTCAGTAGATAAATAATCTCCAGAGCTTTTCCTTTTAACTCTTTCCTTGATTCTAGGTACAGCAGTATTTCTCTCTCCTCACAGGGGGTTATTTGAAGAAAACACATACTATTTCCACTTCCTCCCTTCCCGTTCACTTTCAACCGGTCTTGCAACCACGCCTCCTTCCCTCAGCCCATTTCCTAATTCCTGGTTCCTCAAATGGAACTGTTTTTTTTTCTTGCTGTGAGGCCCAGCATGAACCGTGGCAAACCCCACATGAGGAAATGCTGGTCAACAAGATTCCAAATCATCCATGAATTATTTCATGTAATTGAGGAATATGGGCATAAATTAAATCGTAACAGGTGATTGCAATATTAAATTTTCTATTTTAAAAGGGAAACTCTTCAAACTGGGTCTCTGAATTAGAAAAACAGTCTTGTAATGTTTTTAAAGAGGTGGAGACACTCTCTACATACAAAGGGCAGAGTGTCCTTGCCCTGCTGCAAATGTTTTAGCAGCTGTGGAAACTTTCAACAAAATTTACTTTCAGCAACTGAAGGCGATGTGCGAAAACTGGGCTTTTCATCGTGGAGCCTGAAGCACTTACTACAGAGACGAAGACTCAGAGGCACAGCTAGGAGCTGTGTAGTCCTCACAGCCCACCCTATAAACTCTCATGTGGTTTTTCATCCACCGCCACACACCACTGCACCTCTTAAGAAATCATGTATCCTGATTTTGAACTCTTTGCAGGACAGGATGAAATACTGTAAGGGAGTCCAGGTTATGCATCACACCTCCTTCTCCTAAAGCATGGGAAAAAGATCCAGTGTGCAAATACGGGCATTCTCCCAGAGCCTCCGGGGGTTAAAGCTTCACACGCATTTAGGATCACGGCCATGGAGCGTGATCTGCAGTATTGTATATACTGCCCTTCCTTAACTGGACAGGGGATTCCTTCTGTTTGAGACACCTACAGTCTCATCTTCACAAACATTTATGCCCAGCGGCTCTAAACCAGTGTATTCTATAGTAAGTGAAACTCAGCCCGTAAGAATTAAAAATTGGCCCAAAGGAGAGGTTTCTTTGGGCAAGGGGTTCCTTCTTCTGGGCAAGATAAAATCTCAATGGGCATTTTATCGTTTAAGAATTCCGTATGCATAGCGATGTATGCATCGCTGTGTCTGATAGGAAATGTTGTATTTTTGATCAAGTGCCCACTGTGGATGTGTTGTAGGTAGTACTTGGTTTTATGGAAACTTTAAGAATTTGAGCCACTTCGCGAAGTGGCTCATACACGAATACTGGGTATTAGTAATTCTGATTCCACAAAAGCTCTGTTGCTGACATTATTTCATTTAACAAAAGAAGCAGGCGTATTTATGAGGGTAGAAAGTTTACTATTCATACATTTTATTAATGAGTTTTATTTTTTTATATAAATGAGTTTTAAAGTGTTCGATTTAATTCAACACAGGTTGGTTGTGCACTTCCTACGTGTAGGGCATTAATTTATCTCGTGAGTGCAAATGTGGACGCGGCCTAGAGCTCTCGTCCCCAAATATCTGCGCTTGTAATTGCTAAGGCATATTTTCACTGCAGAGTTGAGGGTGTTTTGCTAACTTACGAAAAATGTTCTTTTTTGAGAAAGGAATTAATTACCTCCTGAAGAGCTGGTACACAATGAGGGTTTCAGACTCTAACATTAGTTATTCAGAAAGCACGTGAACCTCTGAGGTGCATCACTCGATGTCACAAAATTAACATCACTTGACTGACGACAGAGTATAAAAAAAGGTATGTACTTTCCCCCTCTCTATGTGGGCAAACAAAATAATACATGCGGAGTTATTTCTCTTAAATATCTGGCAAGGCATGTGATTGATTGTTAGACATCCTTTGACTTGGTTAAGACAAAAACTTAGCCAAATGTTAAAGCATGGGAAACGTTGGTGTAGGCAAAGCGAATCTTCTGATAAAGCTTTAAAGTCACCCCAGCACACAGACACGTTGAAATCTTACCATTCGGTTTTCATGCAGTCTGTATCCCTGCAGCGAGCATTAGCTTTAACCCTTCAGTGCTGCTGTTGGATGTCGTGTGGAGGGAGAGGCGCGGAAGCTTTATTCAGAAACAAGCTTCCCTTTGGATGACGATCGTGAGAGAACTGCAGTTCTACTCACGTACCCGGGCTCCTGACGGATATGTGTATATGCTACAGTAAATCCTCCGGCTCGTTCAGGGGAGTCCAGCCTTTTACCAGTGCATGTGATTTGTGTGAACCGTGTGTTTAAAGATGGTGTAAATTCAGGGTGTGTCTCTTCGGCCTGTATACCTTCTGCTTCCGAATGAACTTCTTGAGGCAACTCTTAGATTACCTAAGTTCAGCACCTCTTAGGGTTTGCTTTCTAAATGCACTGCCCATGGGATGAGATGGCTATTTTATCTGTTTGACTTTCTAGGGCTTCGTAGAGAAAGTCATCACTGAAAGGGTTAAGGGATGTTACTGCAGCAGGTTATCAGCGGACCAGCCATCTACCTTCGGTACTTACAGGAATTTTATGACTCTTGATCATATTATCAAATTCTTCATTAATTTTTTTGTATTTTTCTTCAGTGCGTGGGGTGAGTGCATAAGAGGAGTCAGGATCGGGGCTTTCACAGCCTTTGTTTTCTTTCTTGTTCAAGGCCTGCCAGGTTCAGAGAAATATCAAGAGTAAAAAAAATGAAGGGTGTTCCGAGTACTTACACACAATCTTTGCCTGCTGATCATTAGATCAATATCTTCGTTAATTTTCCTGTACTTGTCCTCAGACTCAGGGCTGTGACCTACTGAATCGTCTGCATCAGGATCTGGGCTGTCACAGCCATTAAGGCCCTTCTTTCTCAACGTCTGAAATACATAATTTGGAAAGTTCAAACCTAGACAGAGGCTGTAAGAGACATTCAGGGGTGTTAGAGAAGTTCAAGCTGTCCAGTATTTCAGGTTGTTATTACATACACTTTTTTTACATTAGGGTAAAGGAACCACAGAGAAAACCCCCCGGGAGTGATTTCAATAGCATACCCATTACTAGTTACAAAAAAATAAAAGGGCAATATTCTCTTTACAACGAAATTCAGTCAATGAACAAAGACGGTACAAGGGCTGAAAATTCATGGTACGAAAGTCATATGTGCTTCAAATATCTAACGACAGACACTTATAGAAGAATACAAGTAAGATGGCAAATTGCAACACCATGTTCCCACAGGAAAGTTAGAAGTCAGGGCGTTATACAATGATTTCGGAATTTGCGACTGTGACAAAAGCAGAAATGGAAACAGATCTCTAGTTTGAGTTTAACATGATGGTTGGTGCTCCTGGTGTCCTGGCACCCTTTTTGACGTACGTGTGACAGCCAAAGGCCGTAAGAGAACCCAGGTGATATTCTTGCAAAGCACCCATTAAGAACGTCCAGACACTGTGATCATAACGAGATCGCCTTTGTCCAGTCTGGTTAGAAGTCTGTACTTGGGAAAATCTGTATCGAGATTGGTAATACTGAGAAGCTATCTGCCTAAACACAGGCTGAAAGAAAAGTCAAAATGGCTGAGCTTAACTTTCCATAAGCTGAGCAAGGAAGCCAGAGAACACTGAAAATAGGCAACCAAGTCAATAACTACCAAAGTAGCAAAAGTTCCTTCGGCTTCCAGCTGAGTAGGATCACCCTGAGACTGTCTGCTGACACATGAAAGTGAAAAGTTAGTGCCTTTTCCGGAACCTCCTGTCTCCTGAACATAGGACTGGTCTAGTCTCAGCTGTCACAGAAGGATAAACACGAGTGTAACAATGTAACAGAAAAAGTATGAGTCAGGAGTCCTGAGTTTTACTTTCCCTCTTTTTTTTTCTTTTTCTCCCCTTTAACTGATGGTTGTCAAGTTAATTGTACACCATCTGATTTACAGAGATAATGTTATCTTTTAGAGATCATAAAACTTCTGATTAATCACACGGCTTGCCATGTCAGTTATCAATAGACTAGCAACATTTCTGATTTTTCTTGGTACTACCACCGTTTATAAAGGGCTGGGTACCTATGTGTCTCTCATTAATGGAAAGCTCAGCAGAGCTCATCTTTATTAAAGACAGAATTCACGTACAAATAAAGCAAAAGCTGAGATAACACTCCATCTTTAATTCATGCAATTGGGGAAAATAAATAAAACAACATGAGTTAAAAAGGGGGTGTCAGTCTTAACAATTTAAACTCCTTGGCTCTTATCAATGTGTAACAAATATAACATTTAAAATTAGTTTCTGAGGCATGGAAGAATTTCACTTAAAATCAAACTAAGAGAGCTACCATTTCTAATACATCTATGATACACGGCAGCTCTGTAAATATTTATTAATGTTATAGCGGTATAATATAACAAATAAACATATGGTTACAGCTTATTATGTGGTATAATGTTTGAATATTAAAAATGAATATTTTGACACAAGAGGATAATATATACATTTACAATCTTGGGGAATTTATAATTGGTGGGGCCACCTGTCCCCCTACCATGGATCTATGCCATCATTTTTACCCAGAATAAGTAACTGGGGGGGGGGGTTCTTAAAATAATACTACAAAGAATGTTACAATACTTTATAATAATAATTTTATTTACTAACTTAATTTTCTGTTTTAGGCTGTTTTGTTAGCATTATCTCAATCACAAGAGTATTCTTCCGGGTGATAACTATTTGCTGTATTATGATGTGTTTCTGCTTTGATCTCCACATATCCTTGAGAATAATTTCTGAGTGTCTTGCATCATAATCCACATATTTTTCATAAAAATTCACTTATGTAGAGAAAGATGTCAGATAAAGAAAATATTATTCGATGATTTTCAAAATTTACCTGCCTATATTTCTACAAGGCATGATAGGAATATTCTTACATAAACCCTTAATTTAAATTCTTATCTTATATAACATTAATTTATAGTCTTATCTAGACAGTAGATTTTTCAATGTGCACCCAGATCTTTTAGCCAATAAATCATATTGTAAAAATTATAGTTGTTTTGATGTGCAGATTTTTGACAACAGAACGCAAGGGCTAGGAGAGGCCTATCAACTGTCATTACAATCCATCTGGCACGTACATGTGTGCTAAATATTCTTATGAAGCTTTCAAGGGTAGATACTGTGTTTGGTTTATAAAAATTCAAACATCAATTACAGTTTATTGAAAGATCTCTGCAAATGTTAACTCATTATCTCTCACAAGTCTTCCATGAACATTTTAGGGAAACTTTATGCCAAGTCTTAAACCAGCGTGGGCAAGCAAGACGGTCCACACTTCTTGCCTCTTGCCGGGGGCAATATGGGCCACCTTCCCCTGCCCAGGTTTTCCCACACTTGTACAGGGAGGGATGAGGAATAGATCACTCTCACTCACATACAACTACAGCAGCAGGGTGAATGCTGAAATAAATTAAGGTAGAAAAATTTAAAAGTTGGGCTGTGAGAAAGCTTTAAGTATGAAAATATGGCTAAAATATTGATATATCTAGAGGTCAGATTTTAGAGTGGGAAAGCTTATTAGTCAATAAAGCAATTACCAGTTTTTGGATTAAAAAATCATTAAACCGAGAGCTCATTTTGTACCTAAAGAATTATATAAACTGTTAAGCAAACAAAGCAAATGGCATGAAGTCACAAAGGAAACAGCAGTGAGGGGGGCGGGAAACAGTGGCTCATTTTCTCCTTATAAATACTTCTTGTATCTGACTACATTATCTTTCAATGAAATCATCAGTATTTAAGTAATAAAATATCTCTCACACTGAAATGTATAGTTTTATTTCAAGTTGAACTGTATTATTTTAAAAAAAGGGGGCATTTTGAGATATACGAATACAAAACCCAAGGGCAAATTAATAGAGTTGCAAATTCTCATAATCCCATAACTAGAACATTGAAAAAATTGTTCAAAAATATTATCCTCAGCTGAAAGCTTGTAGAACACATTTTTGCCAAGAACAGATGATTATGGTAGAAATATAAGGCTCTGAAGATGGATGTGATGGCATAAACTTAAATACTATCGTGTGCATGTGGAACTCTTACCTTTATTATATTAAAAATCTACAGTTGTTTAAGGATGACAAAGGAATTACTGTTAGATCTGCCAAGTCTGTCTTTATCATAGTGATAAACAGTCAGTATAAATTAAAGGGACTGTTAGGGGGTGCCTGGGTGGCTCAGTGGGTTAAAGCCTCTGCCTTCGGCTGGGATCATGATCCCAGGGTCCTGGGATCGAGCCCCGCGTCAGGCTCTCTGCTCAGCAGGGAGTCTGCTTCTCCCTCTCTCTGCCTACTTGTGACCTCTATCAAATAAATAAATAAAATCTTAAAAAAAAAAAAAGTGTTAGCTGGATAAATAAGGATTATTCTTTCAGGCCTTTTTCTAGAAAAAAATAAAAATCTCTGCCCCTGGCCTTTGAAAGCTTCTCTGATGTTTTACGAATGTTACTGGTCAGGGAATGCAGGCACTTAAATCATTATTTTTTTGCAGGGGCTGGAAGTCCCGGCTGCATATATTGTAAGTGTCTCTCAGCTGACTGTGTTGTGAAAAGATGGATTCTGTATGTCAAGAGGAGGCAAGAGATCTACTGAAACCAGCTTCTCCTGCTCCATATCTGAAGAAACTCTTCCCTCAGAGAACTCTGTAAATCTTGAGTGAGTCTGTATACCGAATTCAACTTTCCATGTGAGAGTGACACTTTTGGGGTAGATCAATTGATGGCACAGGCTTCTGGGATGTTTTCACAAGGCAGCGATTGTCATGCAGTGAGCTGAGCGCAGCCGTTTCTTAGAGAAGTAATTAGATTGACAGAAGGTGACATACTCCAAACAATAAATGGGAAAGGGAGTCCAGACAGGTAATCCAAAAACCACGTGGACTCTCCCCTCCCAGACATGTGGACATATGGACCCTGCATTACTACATTTGCTCATCAGGAAAACTTGAAATACATATAAACTGACGATGATAGGTGACAGGTGCTTCAAAAATTCTAATGAAATAGATGTAGGGAACAGATTCTATTTCGTTACTGAAAGGAATATAAATGAAAAAGAATGCCACATGGAGCTCTCATTTCTTGTCTTAGGCATTATGTTATCATCTACAAAATCCCTTCTGTATACAATGGTTAAAACTGGTTTCCCTTTCTTAATTATTTCTTGTTAGTAAAAAAATAAATAACTAAATTATTGGCCTTTTTTCAATTAAATGAAGCTACATATTTTATGTTACTGCTATTTACATAAAATTAAGCTTCTTTTAGAGAACCACCATCACAGATTAAAGCTTCCAACCATTCAACCTCTTTCCAAGTTGGCAGTCTTAGTCCTCAAGAATATCTATTTTCAGGGTGCTTTGCGTCGCTCAGTTGGTGAAGCCTCTGCCTTTGGCTCAGGTCATGATCTCAGGGTCCTGGGTTCAAGCCCTGCATCAGACTCCCCACTCAGTGGGAAGCCTGCTTCTCCCTCTGCCTCTGCCTGCTGCTCCCCATGCTTGTGCGCTCATGTTCTCTGTCAAATAAATAAATAAAATCTTAAAAAAAAAAAAAAGAATATTCTCATCATTTCTTTTTCTGTACCTACCCATGGTACAGCAGCAGTTTCAAATTTTTTTTTGGCAAAAAACCCATAAACACCCATTAATTTTTCTTAAACTCCAAATAATCAATCTTTCTTGCACAGCTAGCATTACCCTTACTTCAGAGGGCTGATGTGTCAAGAACACATGGAAGAATTATCTCTGTTATTTCCATGAATGTCATGTTCGCACAAAAGCCAAGGGGAAAAAAAAAGTCTCAACTTAGAAAAGGTAGTTTCCTTTTC